AGTTTTCAGGGACATATGGCCATTTCAAGTACAAGGTGTAAAAATAAACAAATCATTCATAATATGCAAATTTTTTTTATTCATTTTATTGCATTACTGGAAGCGGGAGGATATGCACCAGAAGCGGGAAGACATGCACCGAAGCGGGAGATATGGAAACCTCAAAATCAGGATACGGGATATATCTTACCAACTTATCTTCCTAAAACTCCATTGGCATAGGATAAAATATGATTTTTAAACTATTTTTGATATATTTGATAAATATATGCGCTTTTTCATGACTTCATGAAATATAATTTTACTTCCTGCTCAGAGTCAACAAATAGTGTCAGAAACAATAGAAACAAATAGTGTTTACCATGAAAAAAAACACAAGTGGCAGCGTGAATGAAGTACAAAGAAGACAAAACTTAATGAACCATGAAGAATTAAAGGGTTCCGATTAGCATCCCGTATAAAAACAATATGGCGGCTCCAGGTGAATCAACTGGATCAGTCCATTTTTAAGAAATAAGGGGAGTTCTGTAAAATCCAGTTTATTGAAATTGTCTTTGAGATAAAGTAATCCGTTTATAATGATTTTGAAAACGTTATCCAAAGAGTGATTGCGTTGAAAGAATACATGTACAACAGCCAATATAAATCCTTGTATTAGAAACCGGTTTGTCTTGCTTTGTTTCATTTGTAGGATATTTCATATGCCAAGCTGTATGCTATTACGTTATGGGGAAATTTAGATGCCAATTTTTCCTTATTGTACACAAATAGAAGATCCTGAAACTTCACCCATAAATGTGGAATTGATTTGTCAAAATAAAAATCACCCTTTTATAAATGTGTGACGATCTATAATATACTTATATGCTATATAACAGTTAGAGGTGTTGACACAACGACCTCGAACCTGTGAACCCTTGAGTATTATTCCGGGATCGGGCCTTTTATACTAAACGGTGAGCAACACAAGAAACGAGCGTTCGATTTGCTAAACGATATGCGTCACCCTTTAAAGAAAATCGAACTTGTGAAAAATGTTGAAGTGAAATGATGAGTTTTAAACGTTTTCAAATATTTCAATTTCCTGCCATTTTGAAGATAAACGAGGGGAAAAAACAGGATGGCTGCCATTTGATGCTAGAAATGTCAGAAAAAGTAGTTTCTCGTATTCTTCACATGGAGCAACATTTTATGGTTTATGTTTATATAAATTAGTCATTTAGTATTTGCATTTGATTTTGTTTCAATTCTAGCTAGCATTTGATATGGTTTGTCTTGAGCCAATATTCTTCATTGATCAGAATTAATTAATCAGAAGGATGGGATTTTAAGGTCAAATAATTAGAGTGACTGAGTTGGTTTTACTTTACAATTTCCAATATCTCAGTCATTCCCGGACTCAATTTATCAGGCGAGTTGTCTGGAAATGTGCTGCCAAGTGGAAAGTACCACCTCCAACTCACAAAATGACATTAATATTGTATCTTTTTCAGGTACAACTAGATAACAGCAAAGCCAGAGCATAGGAAATCCCATCGAACAGCCATGGCTGCCATTTTTACAAAACTCTTAGACTACCTTTTCAGTTAAAGCAAAAATTGTAAAATGACTCAAATGAAAATGGCCACCAATTTCAAAATGTTTGCTCACTAGCCACATTGTCATAAGAAAGTGTAATATGCTTCCAAGTAGGCACATTTAAAATTTCAACAAAATCACACACAAGCACATGTAAATGGCAGCCATTTTCAAAATGGCTACCTACTAGCCAAAGTGTCATATGATGTGTGTCATGCTTATGAGTATTCATATATCAAATATGAACAAAATCGCTCTATTTTTGAGTTACAGTAAAAGACAGATGGACGGAGGCGTTCCCTATATCCCTCTGAACTTTGTTCAATGGGTTAATAAAAATCTATGGATGGGATAACACAGAAACAGAAGAATAATTCAATTTTATATAATATGTTATTTCCAATATTATTATATCCTAACAATCCACAATAGTATTTATATATACACAGTTTCTTCCTGGTTTCTGACATCGAAGATGCATATAATATTAAGTAACAGTTTTATCATGAGCATAATTTTAGTCCTATAGACAGACAGCCATTAAAAAGCAACAACCAAAATATTTTAGACAAAGAATTGTAGGCTATTAAGTTTTTCATATATTGTATATTTTGTATATTTATGTTACAATTGTATTTCGTAACACACTAGCTAGCGATCTAAACTAAAACAAACAATATGTATTATCAAAAATTCCTTCATTTGGCAAACGTTTCTACAGAATATACTATGGTAACAAAGGTTTATATACATAGCAACTGTTACTATGGTAACATATTTGCAAGTACAAAAATACACATATTTCTAATTTCTATGCATAATGCTTCATAATAATGCCCTACCCCTAGGCCTAAGTTTATAGTGCTTTTTGATCACAGATACACCACACTATTGATCAAGAAATGCCATGGTGATTAAATATTGAGGAATTAACATTATGAATTAGGATGGAAAACATGAAAATCAGAAATAAACCTTGACATTTCTTTGAGAAAATCATACATCAGGAATACCATCTTCTAGGTTTCTCATTATAGATGTCACTCTGAATGTCGTGGAAAACAATATAGAGTTGAAGATGGAAGGGTTTTAATTAATGACTATTCTAGAAAAAGACTAATAAATGTAAATAAATTCAATGTTCATAGAAACCTTATTACTGAACCTATGAATGTTTTTTGTACTCTAGCCTAAACTAAAATGAAAGCATAAAAAAAGTTGTTTGAAATTAGTAAAACTACAGTACAGGGCTTGAACTAAGGACCAACCGTCCGCCAGTCTCATATTACGATTTTACAAATGGACTAGCTGATATTTTCATAATTACAAATAGGAAAATAACACTGCAACTAGTCCACATTGCCATCTAGACCAGCTACAACTAGTTTCTGATGCCATTCTGACCAGCTCAGATCCTTAGCTAATGCCCCGATCTTTTGTTGAGGACAGGGGGGGTTCAAAGAATTGCAGGAAAAATGACTAGAGAAATAATGTTTGCCTACAGATGTTTTATATACTGATGATTTTATCCTACTTATTACACATATACAGTATATGATATACAGATCCCATTAACCAATAAATAATTTCAGAAGACATGATTTATAGTTATTTTGCAACTTCAGCTAGCGTCTTCTAACACAGTATATGTGAACACCAGTTATTATGAACACCTTGAAATGTGAACACCTCATTAAGCAAACACCTCTCTGAATTGTTTTGAAAATCGAAATACAGTATTGAAATTAAGGCTTGGTGTTCTTTTAATCAACTGACTTTAAACTTTTAACATGAATTCTGAATACAAATTAATACATTTTACAGCCTAGAAATGCATGCTAATTACATACAGTGAAACCTCCAGACCTGAACACTATTTCAGTGATGTTCAGTTCCATTTAAACATTTTACAAGTGTTCATTTTGGGAATGTTTTACTGTATTGTCAATAGAGGACTCTGTGGGGCTTTTGGGCATGGTGCTGCACCGTGTTCAAATGTCAAATTCACCTTATCACCATCCTCAATTACAACCATAGAAGGTTATTCATATATCTTTTATAATTTATTTTTGGTAAATTAGTAAAAATATTGAATGTAATACACTGAGCATGATACTTAACGAATATTCCAAAATCTGCTATTTTTCTCAAATCTCGCAGAAAAATATAAAGTTATGATATGTTTGACATTCACCTACTAGGTCTTGTTCGAAAAGTGCATGTTTTTGCATGTACAATATACTCTCTTGCATGTCTTTGCATGTAAAATATACTCTCTTGTATGTCTGCATGTACAATACATGCCCTTGCATGTTTTTGCATGTACAATACACTCCTTGCATGTCTTTGCATGTACAAAACAATCCCTTGCATGCCTTTGCACGTACAATACACTCCTTGCATGTCTTTGCATGTACAATACAATCCCTTGCATGTCTTTGCATGTACAATACAATCCCTTGCATGTAAAATACAATCCCTTGCATGTTTTCACATGTACAATACAATCACTTGCATGTAAAATACAATCCATTGCATGTCCAATACAATTCCTTGCATGTAAAATACAATCCATTGTATGTCTTTGCAAGTACAATACAATCCCTTGCATGTAAAATACAATCCATTGCATGTTTTTACATGTACAATACACTCTCTTGCATGTCTTTGCATGTAAAATACAATCCCTTGCATGTCGTTACATGTACAATACAATCCCTTGCATGTCTTTGCATGTACAATACTATCCCTTGCATGTCTTTGCATGTAAAATACACTGCCTTGCATAAATTAGCCTTGTGAAAATGACATCTGTAAACAACAACGGAAAAGACCAATCTGCAGTCATTTGTACTGTGCCTTTTTAAAGGTTAAGTGTCAATCAGTTCAATGGTGCAGATCCAGGCCTAAGCTTAGCACTAGTGTACAATACAATATCATAGTTTCATCATTGGGAAATACAGCAATTTGATTACAGTACAATGTCATAGTTTCATTATTGGGAAATACAGCAATTTGATTACAGTACAATGTCATAGTTTCATTATTGGGAAATACAGCAATTTGATAATTTTAACCATGCACTAATCACAATCACCATTGGGATTCAAAAAACTGTTAACATTTGAAATGTGAGACACATATTGGGATTTATACAATGCAAGAACATGCATGTTTACAATGTAAGTATATGTACATTTACAATGCAAGTAAATGTACATTTACAATACAAGTACATATACAATGCAAGTACATGTACATTTACAATGCAAGTACATTTACAATGCAAGTACATGTACATTTACAATACAAGTAAATGTATATTTACAATGCAAGTACATGTACATTTACAATGCAAGTACATGTACATTTACAATACAAGTAAATGTATATTTACAATGCAAGTACATGAACATTTACAATGCAAGTACATGTACATTTACAATACAAGTACATTTACAATTACAATCCATGTTTAATAATGATACAAAGCAAGTCCATTTATAATGGTCATACAAGTTATTTTTAGTTGAAACCCTTACATGTCATGCAGGTCAACTGTTATTGCATACGTAGCTTTTAGCTTATTTCAGCGAAACGAAACAAAATCAATATGGATGGACACAAGGAAACTTGAAATTATACTTATCAATATGCTTAGCAAATACGAAGTTGGCACATTTTTGATAAGCACTTTTTGGCAATTACAATCTTTTTGTTTGAACAATTTCTTGGGTGTAGCATTTTTTATTGTAACTTTTAATTTAGTAGTAAAATATTTTTTGTATGAAATAGCTCAATTCTTATTCAAGCATGAGAATTCTACAGGGTGTCAACGATTTTTATCAATCACATCTTCAGACACCCTGTATTCTTTTTGCCTCATATTGGAAAATATTTTTAAATTCTTGATTTAGAAAAGATATCCCTCGGGTTCCCATTCAGTTGAAAATGATTTTTCGAGTTTCTGAAACAACACAATAAATGTCCTATTGTATGGGATCAAAACAATAAATGTCCTATTGTATGGGATCAAAACAATAAATGTCCTATTGTACAGGATCATCAGGGCCAATGCCAGGATTTGAAAGACTGAGACTTAGCAAGAGTGTTTTTATGTTACTGAGCCATGCTAAAAGAAATATTTATAAACTTTTTTTATCCAAATTGTCCATTTTAGAAGGACTACTGCCCAAATTTTTGTTATCAGACTTTTTACACTCAATTACCATGGTTACTGTCTCAATTGAATCTTGCCTGGCTATGACCTTGATCAAAACTACTTTTTCCATTAGCTTAATATCAATCGGGTATCTAGAAACCAACGGGAATCCGAAAACTTAAGGTGTGAAGGTCAAGCAATGGGCCATGCATTTTTTGAAAATCATGCATTTCCACCTTTCTGCTTGCTCTTCACGCAGGGTTAAAATTGAAATTGTTGTCTGTTTCGAATGTTACAATCCATACAGGGTTACAAATATTCTATTCTTTTAGTCACACGTCATGCCACAACCTTTCTTGTTTGCAGGGTCGTTCACAGGGTTCATTTCTTCTGCAAGCAGACAATAACATGTGTTAGTTCAGCAAAATATAATAGCTGTTTAGCCATAATACAGCATTTCAGCAAAATACAGCATAACACCATTATACAACTTAACAGCACAAAAACAGTGTTACACCATAGTATAACATTTATTTAGAGGTTATGTCACTATGACGTGAAATATGCCTGAGTTCTCCCAATATAGGCCGACCTTGGGAGGCTCTATATTTGGGCAAGAACGAAGGCATATTTCACGTCATAGTGACATAACTGATGTATTACATGCCTTTGTTCCCATGGTTACTTTGTATCAATGACGTGACGTCATGATATTATCATGGTTATTAAAGAAATCTAATATCAAAACGAGGTAAGCGGGCTATATCGGGGTAATCGGGCAATATCGGTGGATATAGCTCGCTAACTTTCCCATTGACTTCCATACAAATGCTTCGCTAGGTATGTAATACACCATAATATAGCTTAACAGCACATTTAATAGCAAAACAGCATAATATTACATGGCACCATGAAATAGTATAACACCAATATATAGTGTAACACCAAAAAGTGTAACACCAAATAATAGTGTAACACCAAATAGTGTAACACCAAATAATAGTGTAACACCAAATAATAGTGTAACACAAAATAGTGAAACACCAAATAGTATAACACCAAATAATAGTGTAACACCAAATAGTGTAACACTAAATAACAGTGAACACCAAAAAATAGTGTAACACCAAATAATAGTGTAACACCAAATAATAGTGTAACACCAAATAATAGTGTAACACCAAATAGTATAACACCAAATAATAGTGTAACACCAAATAATAGTGTAACACTAAATAACCGTGTAACACCAAAAAATAGTGTAACACCAAATAGTGTAACGCCAAATAATAGTGTAACACCAAATAGTGTAACACTAAATAATAGTGTAACACAAAATAATGGGAATAACTTTAAATTTGTATTTCAAAAAGTTCTTGATGCGATCAAAGGTGGCGATAATTTTGATTTTATTTTGGAAAACCTTAAGCGTTTAAAATTACAAGTTCAATATATGGACCATATATCCTATTGTGCAGGCTACTAGAGTTCAATATATGGTTCATATATCCTTTTGTGCAGGCTACTAGATTCAAGAGGAACATTTTTTGCTGCACAGCGCTGCAAGATGATGATGCGGATTGGAGGTGGACAGCATTTTTTCTGGAAACAGTTGAACCCAAAAAATCATATCTGGTCAAAATTCTTTAAATTTTTCTAAAAAGGTCAAATGGTCAACCTGAAGGGGCTCAGCTAAAAATCATCCAAATGTGATGACACAGATGAGAAATTGCCTAAAGGTTTGCTTTGTTAATTCAAACAGAGGTTTTTACCTAAATTCACTCAAGGGTTTTCTACACTACAGTGCTGATATATAATAATATAGGGTGCGTTTTCAAACTAAAAAGAGTGTTCCTACCAAAATGAATTTGCCTACATACCCCTGAAACTCTTATCTGATAGATAGAATGCACAAATAAAACAAAAGTTTTGCAATTATAGGTAAAAAGTTCTTTTGAAATTTCGAAGTGATTTTACCTGTTAATTCTGTCCATGGTCGGCCATTTTTGCGGAAGTTACACTGAAACGCAAACTCAATGAAACGAAACGAAATCACTAGAAAAAACATGGCACACATTGTGCGCATGTGCAGCAAAGTTCAGACCAATTAGATTATTTGATTATTTTGCGCACGTGAATTATTTGCTTCCGAGCACTTACAAGCTTGCCACAATAAACAAACCTGGCAGAGACTACCCTTAGGCTACTTCATTTTGGCGAAATTTCAGCTCAAACTCATGAAAAATGCATTATGCATACGCTTGTGTGAAGCCTTGGAGAGACTCATTTTGGTAAATATGATTTATGGGGTATACTTTTCTGCAGTTTGTGGGAGTTTGGGACATTAAATGTTAAAATTCAAGAAAATATGCCAATTAAACGACTGATCAATTAATATATACCAGCCCTGTAAGAGGTTTTCTATGCAAATTCACAAAAGGGTTTTTATTTCTAAACTACTCTATTAAAATTACAGACAAATCACAAAAAAAGATGTTCTTTCTGAAACCATTTTGTCAAAATATTACACGCAAATGTTTTCTAGACTACGTTCACAGTTTTCTAACAAGTGTTCAAGGTTATCAAAAAGAGCTGTCAGGTGATCACTGGTCCATCTTCTGATTGGTTGTTAGATTTATATCAACTCGTACTTCCATCGGGCTCAGCGTCATTAGCACAAACAAATAACTAATTCAGCATGTCTGTTAAATATCATCTTTGGTGAAGTAGATAGACGGTGTCTGAGATGGGCCAGGGGGTGTACATATTTTACAGTCAATTCGAGACGATCAAGATTAATAATTAATAGGCAAATTAGCAATTCAAAACCTTTTAGAAATGCACAATATTTCAGTCTTCTGCACAGACCTAAGATCCATTCATTTACATGGGTTTCCATGTTTTCCCATGTCTGTGTGATAGACTGTATAGCTGCACACATTTTAGCTGCCTTTAAAAGATTAATCCGGCTATCATTAATCACCTGTTAATCCATATTAATCATTAATTTGTTAATCCATAAAAACCTGAATCACATAAGTGCTGCAGATTGTACATTTTGACTTCACATTTTAAGAAACAGAGATTAGTACGACGACCTTCAAATGACCTTCAACCAAATACTTTTGACCTTCTCAACAATTTGATAAAATTTGTCATCTGTGATTTTGTTAAATAGATGAAATTTTCATGATACCCCATGATACACACACATATTACAATACAATTGTACAAATGATAATTAAATAATTAATAAAAAACCTTTCTGAAGTAATCCTGTGTATACAAACAAGATGGACATGTTTTCTCTTTAAGTTAGTCTTGCTTAAAGCCCTTGTAACTTTGACCCCCATACGTCACCTCCAAAAGGACTTGATGCAAGCATTTTTTAACATACGGAGCATTTTTGACACAATTTGAATGAATTTTTTTTTCCAAATAGACTGCCTTATTTTTTACATTTCTATACAATTTAGAGTATTAACTACATGCCTGTTTACATAATTTCATGCTAATTCCACTCTTTTCCATCCTATTTTGTACTCCAGAAAAAACATATCCATTGTGACTACATACACTCAGGATTAATTCATATTCCACATACATTGTATGTTTAACGTCCCATATGATATAAAACCTAATGCTGATTTACAAAGCTGGCTACAATCAGAATATCTTCCACAAGATAGGGTCAGTATAATTAAATTATTCATTTAGCAAATTGTCCTGGTTAGTTTTAATGGAGAACCAACAACCAGGACCCGCCAGAAATGCAAAACGAACATTTAATTATACATAACCTTAAGTTCTGAAATCATTATTTTGGAGGAGGCCTTGACGCAAGTGTAGATGCAGTAGTTGGTTTGGGGGCAGGTTTGGGGCCTGTGGCTGGTGGTATTATAACCCCTGGGGGTGGGGCGACAGGGTGAACACTACCAACTGGGGCAGAAATAGTCCGTTTCATAGGTCTAGCTCCAGGTTTGGGTGCAGTGGGAGGGGCAACTTTTGTTGGAAGAGCCCCGGGAGGTGGAGCTGTTGGTTTTAATGCAGGGGGGACAGTTTTAGGAGCAGTAGTAGCTGTTCCGGCTGCTCCAAGTTGAACTGTTGGTTTAGGGGCAGCGACTGGGGGAGTTTTGGGACCTGTTGGCTTGGGAGCTGTCACTGGAGGAACTTTAATAGCGGGTTTGACAGGTTCAGGGGCTTTAACTGGAGCTTTAACTGGTTCAGGGGCTTTGACTGGAGCTTTAACTGGTTCAGGGGCTTTGACTGGAGCTTTAACTGGTTCAGGGGCTTTTACTGGAGCTTTAGCTGGTTCAGGGGCTTTTACTGGAGCTCTAACTGGTTCAGGGGCTTTTATTGGGGCCTTAACTGGTTCAGGGGCTTTTACTGGAGCTTTCACGGGTTCAGGGACCTTTACTGGAGCTTTGGCTGGTTCAGGGGCTCTGACTGGAGCTTTAACTGGCTCAGGGGCTTTTACTGAAGCTTTAGCTGGTTCAGGGGCTTTTACTGGAGCTTTAACTGGTTCAGGGGCTTTTACTGGGGCCTTGGCTGGTTCAGGGGCTTTCACAGGTTCAGGGGCTTTTACTGGAGCTTTAACTGGTTCAGGGGCTTTTACTGGAGCCTTAACTGGTTCAGGGGCTTTTACTGGAGCTTTAACTGGTTCTGGTGCTTTTACTGGAGCTTTAACCGTTTCAGGGGGTTTTACTGAAGCTTTTATGGGTTCAGGAGCTTTTACTGGGGCCTTGACTGGTTCAGGGGCTTTCACAGGTTCAGGGGCTTTTAATGGAGCTTTAACTGGTTCAGGGGCTTTTGCTGGAGCTTTAACTGGTTCAGGGGCTTTAACTGGGGCCTTAACTGGTTCAGGGGCCTTTACAGGCTCAGGGGCTTTTACTGAATCTGATTTAACTTGAGGAAGAGAATCTGATGTGACAGCCTTTACAGCAGATATATCACCACTGCTAACCTTGGGAGCCTCCTTAACTTTGGCAACCTCATTAACTTTGGCAGCCTCTTTTACTGGCTCTTTTACTGCTTCGGCAGGAGTTGGAGCCTCAACTGTCTTATTTACTGGTTGACTGCCATTGATGGTTGCGTCAAGGTGCTGTTGAATGTTGCTAAAGGCATCTATCCCCCTGTAGTCAATCTGGCCACACTCCCAGGCATACTGGTGCTCCCTCGACCCAGGGGTGGGTCCGCTGTACCCGGGGTAAGGCTCGGGTGTTTTGTTGATCGATAATGCCGCTAGTTGGCCTATTAACCCACCCTGAAAGGCAAGCAGAATAGAAATGGTCAATATTATAAGGCCAAGGAATTTAATATTTGTTTTGACAGGTTGGGTTTGGTTTAAAAACTTCATGCTATATTTCGAGCGGTCTTGGAATACAGTTTTTAGTTGTGAGGAACTTTAACAACGCATTATGGGTTCTTTAAGGCACAGAAACTAAAATTTAGTTTTTGTGTCATGTATGCCAGATATGATTGTTCCAAAACACAATTTGATTTTGAATTCGTGCAATTAATTTAAATTATTCGGTTATTAAAATTGGAAATATTAATCAAATCATAAAATAAATAAAACTGAAAAATATTAATCAATTCATAAAATAATAAAATATGATTAAAGAATCAGAGCCTCGTTACTTGGAAATATTTTAAAATTTGAGCCTAGTTTTACATTTATGAATGGTTTATATGAAAATATAAACAGGCAAAACTTGTGCATAGTGAACATTTTTAGAGCTAAAAATTGTGTTAACCTAATAATTCTTTAACAAGAGTTGGTCTGTTCCTTTAAATATATCTACATTAATATACAAAGTATTATTAAAGGTGTGGTCCTGGTAACATAATTGTAACATTAGCAGTTTTGTTTGTTTTGTTGAATACTGTTTCAATATTAGGCCAGATATGGGATTGAAGCATTGAATGTGTGTGGTGTCTTGTCTCTGTCGTACTCCCTCCCCCTCTTCCCCTCTTCCATCCCCTTTTTACATCACCTTGGGGAGGTGTGCAGAGGGAGGTATTTAGGAGAGAAGGGACAGGAAAGTCACAAAGGTGAAATAATTTTAATTGCATATTTCAATAAATGTCCACGATCTAGACAACTCAAATACAAAATAAGAATACAAATATGAGTTTTACAATTCTCATTACCAGAACCGTAAATTATAATAAAAATAAAATACAAACAAAATAAAAACTGTCAGTTATTCAAATCTGAATGGTATACAATTGAATAATTAAATTACTCATTCAATTTTGAAAAACATCAATATATAGCATCTCTCTACTATTGTGCAAACATTGCATAACCAAATCTATTGTGCGTGTACAACCAATAATACTAATATAGCATGCAGTGATGTAAGGAACCGCTTTTGGAGCTCGCCAAATTCAATCGTTCAATCATTCAAGTTGAAGTCAATCAAATTCAATCGTTTAACAATTTCAATCGTTTCAGTTAAAGTCAATCAATATCAATCATTTAATAATTTCAAATAACCACCTGTTAACATCAGTATATAAAATCAAGTTAGACCAAAAATGAAAAACATTTCAATATACCTCACCTATATATAATAAAGATTTATAGGATATAAATATAAATTTTAAACACTTTTTAACGTAATATGTTATATAAATTTGAATCTAGTAGTTATGTTATAATTGGAAATATATAATAATCATTGTGGTCTCTATGCTGGTTGCTATGACAACTGTCAATCATCTTATCAATATGATGGAATCTCAAAATAATTTATTTTATTTTTAATTAATTAATTTTTTTATTTAAATACTAGAGTCGAAACTCATTTCCCCCTTCCTCTTGCTCTTGCAGGCATTATGGTTGAAGACATGATTGCCAAATTTAGCATATTGGCATTCAGTCCATTGCCATAGAGGCAATGTCTTTTTAATTTTAATGTCAAGAGTGAACACATGATTGCCACAATTTAATATATTGCCATTCAGTCCATTGCCCAATGGGCAACCAGTCTTTCCAAGGGCATTGCCAAGAGTGAAAACATGATTGCCAGAATTTAATAATATATTGGCATTCAGTCCATTGCCCAATGGGCATCTAGGTTTTCCAAGTTCACTGCCAATAAAGTGATTGCCAAGAGGCAGTCCGGCAGCAGTGAATTTCGCACCCTGCCCTCTTAACCCAAAGAAAGTATTTAGACGAGGGTACATATAATATGAAAGACTGCCATATTTCATAATAATAAATGTCAAAGCTATGGGGTATTATTCATACCCAAATGTATAATCTTGTCCTGTTTGACAAAACTGAGGCCCACACTAGCATTGAAGCTCATGAGGCTGATATAAAATAGAATTTATTGGTTTTTGGTAGGGAATACCAAAAATGCATCCCTCTAATTCTCATCTTGCCTCATCTGTTCAAAATGCCTTATCTATTTTAAGTGTCTCGTCTATTTTTTGATCCATGTTACACCCCTGTAATCGTGGCTTATCATGTTGAAAATTCCACGATTGAAAATTTTATTTGACTCTTCCATTATATCGATACATCAATGCAACATATCTCCCGGGACAAGTCCACAATGCCGTTAGATCAAAAGGTAAGTGTTCAATGTATATCAAATATATTAAAGACAACGGGAGTGGAATGAAGATTAATTAGAGAGAAATGCTTGAAAATCACACATTTAACACAAGAATTGTGAGTTATAGTGTGAAATACTGAGGATATGAAAGAACATTTTATCTAAATATTATTATATATAGGTAGGTAGGTATATTGTTAATTAATGAAAAACACATCAGATGTTCCACCAGAAGTGCGTGCTATCAACCATGCACAGTATTAAACTATATCAATCTAATTAAGTGTCTTGAAAGTATCCTTCAGTGCAGGGAATCCACACCACTTTTTAGCCCAATGGGAAGAAAATCTGGGAAAGGTAGAGTACAAATTCGAAATCCCCTGGTAAGAAAGAACCTCCTTTACTACCCATGGGAAGAAAGAACCTCCTTTGCTACTAATGGGAAGAAAATACACCTTTACTACCCCTGGGAAGAAACAACCTCCTTTACTTATTCTATACTAGGAAGACAACCTACTGGGAAGAAAAACGGGTCCATGTGAACCCCTTCACATGAAGGATACCATTAAAAAGTGGACATTAAAAATTATATTTAACACTAGGACCTACTGCACAATCTACTGGAGCTATACGGACAACATTGCTACTAAACTCTAACAAAAAGGGTGGAGTTATGGATTATTTAGGCCTATACAAGTCATTATAAAGATTCAATTTAAAAGTATTAACTTATATATAAATATTCCACTCCCAGAACTTCTTCATGGAATTTCCATGTCAACCTCCCCTAACATTGTTGATCGTAATAAAACTGATCAAATTTGTGCAGAATTTCTTTTTTGCCCAACTCATGCTGGGTGTAGCATCTGGGCAGAATAAGTTATCTTTGAAAATATATGGTAAAACTGTCTTTAGATAGCATTTAGATATAATAAACCACAATCACTTGTATAGACCTTCGATTAGAGACAAACTATTTAGGTGGCATTAGATCTAAAGAATGTACAGCGAGCGTACAGTGTGATGTCACAATGAATGGTTGATAGGAATCACTTATGGCGAATATGGCCTTGAAATACCTCAGTAACCTTGGAGTCCCCTTGGGGGTGACCAGGTTCTGATCCAGGAGCATCTACAGGGGTTTCTGTTTGTGAATCAGGGGTGGGGGTTTCTGTTTGTGAATCATGGACAGGAGTTTCTATTTGATAATCATGAGTGGGGGTTTCAGGTTGCGAATCATGAGCGGGGGTTTCAGGTTGCCATTCAGGGGCAGGGGTTTCCTGTTGTGAATCAGGGACTTCACTTTCTGGTTCTGGACTAGGATGTTTTTCTTGACCAAACTCTGTCCATGTTTTTTCAAAATCTTTAGATTCATAATAATACTGATTTGGTTCATCACCGGATGATTGCGAAATGGGTTGCTCCGAGTAAACATTCTCCATGTGGTAAAATGGTCTCGGATGGGGTTGGGGCATATCAAACTGTTCAGAATGGTCCTCAAAAGAAGGCTCATAAAATGGTTGAACATCGGGTGGTTGAAACGGACAAGAAATCTTATACTGCTCTGGGTCAGGTATAGAGGGGTGCGGATTAGGAGAGAAATAGATCTGAAAACAATGAAATGAGAGTTATAATGTATGAAAAAGGTGAAATAGGTTTAAATTATAAGAAAACTGGTAAGCTCTAAAAATGAAGTTTTTTCTATAAATAAAGGATAAGGCAAAAAGAATGGTGCATAATTTTAATAAAATATATCTACAGAAATAAAATCTCATCTGGATTGCAAAAAGTATATTCTACATTAATGAGGAATTTATACTAAGATTTTATCATCAAGAAAGATTAAGAATCAGCTGTGTCATATTTTAGTAAAAAGTTATTGGAGTTTGTGACTAGTATAGATGGCAGATTGAACAAGGTCACGTGTGACATCACTTCCTGTTGTGGGAAGTGATCAGATAAAATTTAATATATGTGGCATAATATAATCGGCCAGAAAGTATATTTATTCATTTTAAGATTCCAAATAGAGTAATTTTTGGAATTTTCATTGCAAAATATTTAAATTTGTTTTGACAAATTAAAATGTTACAGAATATAATCAACACCGCCATCTATTGACAGTCCTGTCTCACATTAAATGCTGTTTGCCTTTTATTAGTATACTTTTACTAGACTGTTCTCGAATCAATTTCATCAAGTAGCATTGTTTTAATTTTCGTTCATATTTTATGCCAATGAAAACAGTAATACATACTGTACAGTTCACATGTTTTATATGTAGCCAATGACGCAAGCAGGGGGGCCTAGCGGAGCTCAATTCAAAGGTCAACATTCAAGATTGCACGAAAAGCTTTTGGATCAAAATGAGGCATTTTTGATGAACTCCGAGATTTTTGCGCCAAAATAAATGTCATTCACCAACACAATGATGTTAAGATTAAACATGGCACATAAATATATCCCAGAATGCATCAGAAAAGTAAGGAAATGGTTCCAACTGCCTCAATTTGAAAATCAAAATTTTGTGACAATAGTTAAAGAGTTACAGGACAGGGGCAATCCTATAGGCTACCAGTAGATTGATGACGCAAGGTGCAGAATGACATCACGAGAAACATGCCACATCAGATTTTTTAATACACTGTGCATTTTAGATAAGCCTAATTTTAGGGAAGCACATTATAGATTAACTTATGAGTTTTCTAAACTAAAAGCTTCCCTTATAATAAAATTATATGGATTTATCTATGTAACAACTGTATAGCGACGGGACGTTATAATTATATTGCCATGGATACACGAAAACAAGCAAAATCATCTCAATTTAAAAAAAAAATAAATAAATAAATAAACAAAATATAGCTAAAACATGGTAGTTTAAACAACATGCATGTATGGTTTTATAAGCATCTCTTTTAAAACACTTTAACATCTGCTATTACAGAGAAAATATCATTTGGTTGCTAAGCAACAGATTGTACAATTTTTTTTTCAAGTTAGCAGGCAAAGTAGAAGATCAAGCAATATGCAATACGCACTAGCAAGCAATGCTTATTAGCAAGCAATACAATTGATCTAGCAACCAATGTTCACTAGCAAGCAATGCTCAAGCAATATGGACTAGCAACCAATGCTCTCTACCAAGCAATGTTCACTAGCAAACAATGCTCAATTGCAAGCAATGTTCACTGACAAGCAATATTCATGCAGTATGGACTAGCAATATAATCTAGCAAGAAATGTTCACTAGCAAGCAATGCTCAATTGCAAGTAATATAGACTAGCAAGCAATTGTTCATTAGCAAACTTGCTGATAGGTTGTTTGACCTTTGAACCATGTTTTAGCATGTACATTTATAAAGACCTTCTCTAAGAACACAAAACAACAACACATAAACAGTGAAGTTATACAAGAGACCGTATTTCTTATGCAATTAAGGAATGCACGATTTAATATAAGCTTAGAGTAATGTAGCTGTCACATTGCCGTGTGGGCTCACCGTTCACCACTGTGTAAATAATTTTTTAAAATTATTTTTTGTATTTGAGGTGATGTCTTGCTGTAAAACTATTTGTTTTGTCCACCGTGTATCCTTGCCGTGCCCAGCCTTCTGCCCCAAAGTACTCACATAGAGGTGGACAGTGACCCCACATGGCCTAAGTGTGACAGCTCCAAAAAAGAAACACAAGAACAATAGAACATATACCATATTAGTTTTGCATCAAGTATATGCCCCCTCCCCATTCTCCCATAATTGATTAGATATTTCCCAAAGCATGCATTTGAGGAATGGAAAATGGGGGAGGGGGAAGCACTAGGGTTTGATACAAGACTCAAAGTACCATACTAGACACACCAATAGCCCAGGGATTATGCTAAAAATACCAGGGCCATCATTACATCAAATACGGTATATACGATATATCTGTATATATTGGAAGAAGGAAGATAGAGAGATAGTTTGAGGATGGTATATCCTTACCTTCTCGTAAATTGTCTAGTTAAAATAAAGACAATGGCAAATTCATAATTTAGTCATTATGGGGATGTTTATAATTAACCCTTTAAAGCCAATTTATAATCGTTAAAATTTTTATATAATTTATTGGTGGCACATAGAGTTAAGTATTTGCAATAAACAAAATTGATGGTTTTTTGAATCTTAAATTTTTTATTTGGCTCAGTGTGTAAAGATGCCCTCATAGTATTACTTTGTCTGTAGTAACGCCATAGCAACACCATGGCAACCATTATTTTTCTGATCTGAATAACAGTTTTTGAAAGTTCATATATTTTTATACTTTTTCAACAACAACTTAAAACAAAGCAAGAATTTTCTCCCAAAGTGATAATTTTTTGCGATAATTATAGACGATTCAGTCAACAGTCAATACATTCAAATTCAATAAATAGAATTTCGTTTGAATTTCAACTTCAATTTCAAAACCATGAGTATCATCTTTACAATCTGAGCCTTTTTTAAAAATTGAGCCTCATTCTGAATATGAGCCTCACTTTGAATTTTAGATGAACATAACAATTTTCATGAATGGCTACAAATATAGTCAAACTAGTTTCATGGACATGACTGTTAAAATGTTCATTAGTAAATCACATGTCCAAATGTTGAAAAATCCATGCAAAATTGTTTTCTTGCTGGTATGAGTTCCGAAAATCCATGCAATATTCATGGATAGTGTCCAAAGGACTAAATGCCCCTCTGTACAGTGTGCTATGCAAGTTTAAACAAACCTTGGTATCATCGGGGCCTAGCACATGCTATGATACTATATCAAGGGGCCTTTATCCTTTAGATTCTATCCATTGTAGTGATCTCCACAACTGATTTCTTAACAGGATACAAAATCCTGATTTATTTAATTTCGTCAAAATATCTCAATATTTCATCCTTTCAATGGGGTGGAAACAGGTTTTCAACATGGTGGAAGGTACATTGTAATTCTCAAATGTTCAACAGGGTGGAGCACCTGATTGGTGTGAAATTGGGGAGATCACTGTGTCATATCATTCATCATTTCTTCAGCATAAACACTGCAGTGTTCAAGTCAGCTTAGAGTTATGCCGTGGTCATATTTTCTCTAATCTTCAACACCGGCACCTGGCCAATGACTAATGTGTTCAGAAGTGAGTGCAATTTTGAACAAAATACTCATCAGCCTGGTGCCAGAACTGAAAATGGGAGCATATGTGACCATCAATGATGACAGTTTACATCTGGAGAAAAATTTCAGCAAATCGTTATGTTTTAACTCCAAGATGCTACATGCACAATTATTATTTTTTATCATTTTAACTTTATACATGTATGTCTTCTAAAAACATGGCTTTAAAACATCAAAAATATTATAATTTGCGATATTTCAAACTGCTAATCTGAAATATAGCGAATTAAAACATTTTGTCGAAAAATATGAAAACCCATACTATATGAGGCAACATGATTGCTTAATAATACAACGTCTCTATTCTATATCATTATCTCGAATATTATGCTTTTATAATTATAAGAGTAAAATGTAATTTTCTCCACATCCACATGTATTCCATCCAAATAAGGTCAAGTACTATCACTTCATAATTTCATGCCAAATAAGGCAATGTCAATTTCAGAAGAGGCAATGTCACTTTCAGAAGAGGCAATATCCTTTTTAGAAGAGCCAATATCCTTTTTAGAAGAGGCCCTGTCACTTCCAGAAGAGGCAATCTCTTTCAGAAGAGGCAATATTCTTTTCAGAAGAGGCAATATCCTTTTCAGAAGAGGCAATGTCACTTTCAGAAGAGGCAAAATATTCACTTCCAGGAAATGTACTTTTACTTTCAACTATAAACACTCATAATAAAAACAGCCAAAACAAGTCACATTTGTCATTTTCTACAGACTTTGATCATAAACTAAGTATGCAACTGCCCAGTAATATCCTCGACACTTGTTCCGAATGTTACATCTGGCTTTTAAAAACACGTCCTCTTGCACTATTTGATCAGGCAGACAGGAAGTGATCATGTGATCATGAAGTTTCATGCTCTGGCACACTGATCTTCCCATCCTCTCGTATTGTTTCAATGTTAATTATCATTTATTACTGAAATGGTTTAAAGTTGTTTACCATGTACTTTGCCCTTGAAAGGAAACCTTGGAATGACATCTATGAATCAAAATGGAATTTTATGAAGGATTTTTATTTATTTAAAAAGTTCTAGTTTTCAAGAAATAAGTACTGCAACTTTGTTTGAAACTATAGGCAGTAATTCACATTTGAATAATTGTACATAGAACTTCTTGTAAAGGGCTTCACAATATAATTGTATATAGCAAGCCTAGAATGAGGTGTTAGTCTGTCCAAGGCAATGAATGGCGGAATGTTGGTTTGTGGAGAACATTACATTTTACATGATAGATTTACTCATATTTTCATACATTAGGTTTTCCTCTTCTCATGCTCCACTCAATTTTTCTCTTATCATGGAATGAAGCATCTGATTTTCTGACATTTTTTGACCAATATAGAGCGTTAACAACAAACAGGGTAAATGAGCAACATAGGACAATGTAAAGTAAAGATTACTAATGGCCAGCTAATTATTTTGATATGTATTGGGGAATACAGTACAGTGAAACATGTAAAGTGGAACACCTCCCAAGTGGAACACTTTAGAAGTACCAAAGATGTTCCATTTAGACAGGTTTTACTCTGCATGGTAACTGATACTTATTCTATTTCTACCAATATGTCTGAAATCACTTGACACACATGTTCATTTAATTCCATGCTAATTCCACTTTTGAACACTCGATTTCACATTTCAAACCATCATATTCAACCCATGCATAGATAATAGTAATCACTATATTCCATTTCTTAAATCTTTTTAGAAATGTCAGAAAATCAAATTTTTCATTCTTAATTTAGAATAAAACATCTGGCATAATGCCCAATACAAATCTCCAAGCATTTCATTCAGTGCAATTTTGACTTCTCTCTGCCTACTCATGATTCGCCAGAATTGCAATTTGAACTTCAACCATGACTGGATTTCAAATGTTATCATCTAAAAGTGATACAGGACATTAACATGGAAAATGTAACTACCTGCCATTTGCTACAGATGCCAAATGCCAGATGCCGGGTGCCAACACTTTTGGTGGTGACATAATAAAATGAAGTAATTTGTGAGAAACTGGTGAAATAGTGAAATAGCAATCTCTTAATTTCCTTAGATCCTGAGAGCAATGAACCATGGATCAGCAGAGAAGGAATGCACCGAAACAAAACTGCATGGAGAATGATTTCCCGCATAGTCCAACTCACCTGTTGTGGGTCTAAATATGGCTGAACTTTTGATAAGAATATCGCCCACCAGAGCTTGAGAAATTCTGCGCTGTGTCCAGCCTCTTCTTGGATTTCAACCTCCCCCGTCTGTGTGTTATACTTGTGATTCCATGGTTTGATAGCCCCGATGAAATGAACAATGCGTATCTTGTCGTGAAATCTGAAATACAATCAAGTTATATCATTAAAATACAGAATCAGAATCAGAGCTTTCAAAAGCAAGGCTGCAGACCTTTAAAAGCCCCATATAAAGTTTAAACAACTTTTTCTCAAAAAAAAGCAAATAACATATCGCTGTTGGAGACAATGGCAATTGAAAGTGTCAAATATTTATTAAATAAATCAAACACAACTTCACTAACATTAATCTAAAGATGACTGAGCTTAATTACAACTACATGTATTCATTTGAATTGGCTGTATGTAAACTTCATAATTGTGACATTCAGAGTAATATCGTAATCCTTTCAGAGTTGAGAAATTTAGAGGTAAATAGAAGAGATACAAGTAGTCATTAATTTTCTTCATAGAGGAAATTCTCAATAGGCAGTTAACTTATATTCCTTATGTTCCTTTTCTGCTACAAATGTCAAATAAATGAAAGAATTGAACTGTTTAACAAGCTGTTAGACTTTATAGACTAGTACTATAGATATTGTGTTAGACTTAAAAAATAAATTAATTTATTATTTAATTATTTCACTTTTACTAGCTTATACTCACACATAGTTGGAACCTAGAACACCAGAGAGAAGTTAAGAATCATGTATGAATTCAATTTTATCCATATCTATTGACCTTATTTTTTGATTGGCCAATTTCACCCAATCACTGAGTGAGACAAGAACAGGCAATGTTTGGGGCTGTATGCATTAACTTCTGAACTTCTTATTTCTGGTGTCTTATGGTTTAGATTTAAGTTGTGTAATTAATAACTACTAAAGTATGTAATTAGACATGTTAGAAAAATAGAGAAGTCAAAGAATAAAAAGGAAAGTGAAAGAAAATAAAAATACAAAAATGTATGTAAGTAAAAAATCTAACAAAGTTAAGTCAGTTGAAAGAAATAAGAACACCAGCAAAACCTGAATATATGAACACCTTAAAATGTGAACACTTTTCAGTCCTGGCCAACTTTTTCCACAATGTCATCAGGAACCAAAAATGTAAACACATTTAGCTGGTCCTATTACACAAACACAGTATCAGAGTATCGTACAGTACCATTCTAGCTACAGAAGTGTACAGTACCACAGAATATGGTACCCTACAATATACCATAGACTAAAACAGTACTGTATGGTACTATGAACACTGGGTGACACCATACTCTTAATGGGCCTGAACATACCATGTGGTACCGTGATTTAAGAGTGCAGATTGGGGGTGTACAATTCACTTTTGACAGGTTTTACTGTATGGTCTTGAGTTAATCCTTACGAAATTATATGAAGAGAGCACACAGCCACCAAACTCACACAAACAAAACTCACACAGCATGTCAACATAAAAGTTGATGTAGGTATACAGTCAATGCATGACCCATACAAACTTCTGATTATTTTTCAAGGTAAATTTACATGAGAATTCTTTAATTCATCAAAATATTAACCAGTATGCACGCATGAAATATTGAGACATTATAACCAAGACAGGGAAAATGAAATAATGACTTTACACCTTGTTGATAAAAAAAAACTTTTTGAAATTTTCTCATCTACCCCCAATAAAAATATGTCATAAAATACCCTTCCCCTAAGAATACAGTTTAGGGTTCTAACCAGATATTTTTTAGAACCGGAGAAAAAATTGCCATTTGCGTCACTTAAAAAGCTCTGAAAGTCTAGTAAGAACTCTGTAGTTTGTACAGGTCTGCATTGAACCTCCCCCTGGTGAACCACTTACTGTTTAAATGCTGGTAGATAACTATAGAAGGCCTGAGAGACTACATTATATACAAATGGGAGATGACGTGATATATCTTTTGTTGACCAATCTGAGAAGTACAGGTTTAATAAACCCTGGTCACCTCCTAAAATCACAAGTCACATGTATGGTACTAGGATTTTTACAATGGTTAAATGTATGGTTCTAGGATTTTTTACAATTATGGTCAAATGTATGGTACAAGGAGTTTTTCATAATGGTCACATGTATGGTTCAAGGAGTTTTTCACAATGGTCACATGTATGGTACAAGGAGTTTTTCATAATGGTCACATGTATGGTACAAGGAGTCTTCACAATGGTCACATGTATGGTACTAGACTTTTCACAATGGTCACATGCATGGTACTAGGGCATTTTCACGATGGTCACATGTATGGAAATAGGACTTGTTTAGAATTGTCACATGTATGGTACTAGGGCTTTTTCAAAATGGTCACATGCATGGTACTAGGACCTTTCACAATGGTCACATGTATGGTACTAGGACCTTTCACAATGGTCACATGTATGGTACTAGATTTTCACAATGGTCACATGTATGGTACTAGATTTTTACAATGGTCACATGTATGGTACTTAGACTTTTTTCATAATAGTCACATGTATGGTACAAGGAGTTTTTCATAATAGTCATATATAAGGTACAAGGTCTCCTCCTTTTTCATAATACACAGTCATATCTATGGTACTAGGTTATCACCTAAAATTACAATAGTCACATGTTAATGAAAATTTCTAAGCAATACAGCATGGATAGATATTAAAATATACTTGTAAAAAATGTCATTGTAACAGACCCTTTGCCATATAGCTTTAAAATTTGGTTGAAGTCTATTTTAAGGGATTTTAGGAGATTTGTGTGTAATTAATTTATAAGTTATCCGATGGTACATTTGAATTCTGTGCACAATTAATTGATTTTTTATTTTTTGTCTTAGAAGCAAGACTAACTGAGTCTGTAATTCAGTGAATTTGAAAATAAAATCTTACCATCAAAGCTGCCTTGTTTTACTGCGAATTCAACTAATGAACTATAGGTCTCTTCACTTGGCTCGTACACGAACACGCCAGAATTGAAACAGTCTGGCCATCCAGCATCTGGTGCGCCTGAAAGCTCCTTTCTCTCGAAAAGTTCATCTACATTTTGGAGCACCTAAAATTAAAGCAAATCAAATGTTAAAACTGACTTTTTGAATTTCTTAAAGAAAGATTGGAACCGATATGGTACCTGAGTATTTATATGATATAACATTCAACATTTTCAAATGAATTTTGCATCTTTAATTGACTCTGAGTTTCACCAGCAAAAATTAAGCAAATCAACTGTCTGGCTGACTGACTGTATTTCTCTTTATATCAGATGTTTAATATCTATTGGCATTTGCAATTTCCATGTTTATATGATAAATCATATCTCTATTGACCCTCCTAATAATTGGGTCATAAAATTGGCTATTTATACTGATTATTATTATAAAAAAAAAAGTAATCTAATTGCAAGATTTTCAGAATTAACCAATTTGCACATCATAAACAACATTAACAAAAAAGATATTTAGAAATAAAAGTGAGTGGAAATCTATGTAGAATCGTGAGTCATCCGACCATTTACTCAGAAAAAAACCTTTTCAACTTGGTCATTCTAGAATAAAAATAAAAATGCCCTTCTGAAAATCAGGAATGAAATGAGTTTCCACTATATGTTTTGCCAGATATATCATGAATACAACCAGCTAGAATTTTGAATTTGAAGATCACAAATGAGTCTGAACCTCAATCACTGACTTCATTCCTTCCACTCGATGCAAGAGTGGAGAAATAAGTTTTTTTTTTTTTTTAAATTTCAATTTCAATTTATTAAATATATGTACATACAAACAATACAAAATTGATGAAGTTCGGGAGAGAGGAACTGGCGGTGGTTTGCAACTAAAGAACCAATATTCCCATTGTGAGAACATGGTTTGGGAGGAAAGAATGAGATCGGCGACATCAAGACTGACGAACACACATACATGAGTTTAAGTGTAGGACACCTCTTGTGAATTCCACTCTTTTCCTCTCTACTTTACATTTCAAAACTTGATTTCCATGATCTTACCATAGTATCAGCATCTAGGAAGACACATTTTTTAAACTGGGTCAACCTCCAGCAGTGTAGTTTTGTGAAGGTCACCCCAAGGTCAGGTCGGGTCAAGAGGTCAAGCTTTTGTGAATCCCGACTGTCCAGGACGTCAACTCGAACTATCAGGTCAAACACCCTCGACAGTTGTTCCCTGCAAGTATATGATGTTATAAGATATACTGGGTGTGCAGCAAGTCCCTTTACAATTCCAATACAAAGTCTGTAAATTATTGGCACCCTGTATCATGTAACAGAAGGTGAAACATAATAGTGAATAATAAATCAGATATTTTCTGATATCTTAATATGCCACTTTCAAAAATTAAACTTCATCCTCTAACATCTCAAATTATTATTTGTCAAAGATGCATCCCTTTTTCCATCATTTTCCAACATGAAATATTTATACAACATCCTTATGAACACCTGACTTGTAGTTTTCTTAAAAGAACTAAGGAAAAAATCAAGTCAATTAATTCATTAATGTATGGTATGCCAATTCAATATATCAGCAGACAATACATCTAATAATGAGTTGACATGTTGAGAGAAGATCGTGCTGTTTTTCATTTAAATATCTTATCTAACAAAATATCCTGAGGTAAAAAACAACTAGATAATGTTTGACATGTGAATTAAATGGGTATAGAGTTAAAGGGCGTTGAATATTATTAGAAATATTATTACATATTGTACACCTTTACCTTTAGCGATAATGACAGAATTTTCAGTTCATGCATTTGTGTTTTATAGTAAAGATAAGAATGTCAATGAAGCCCTCTTTCACACAGCATAGCAGCAGAGTAATGGATTTGAGGTAGTGAGATAAGAAACAGGCCTCATTCACAAAAATGCATGGAAGTTAGTCAGAAATCTTGTTTTGGGAAAATCCATCACTAAGATATCTTACACCTTTCCCAGCTAACCAGTGCATGTACATAAGGGCTGTAAGGCTTATAGAGGCTAGAGATCATAGATATCCACCTTCTTTGCATTTCTTAAAATAGATCAGTTTTTGTAACATTGGCATCAACTGTACCAAAGAGTTTCTCTCATGATAAAACTGAAAGATTAGCCAAACAGGGTTAAACTATAACTAGTCATGCCTGTTAGATGGGGGGGGGGGGGGGAGGAGAGGTTCCTTGGGGGGCTAAGTCATCCCCTTTTCAAGAATTAACTTTTTACTCCTAATAGTCATAATAAACATTTATCAGTTACAGTTTTTAGCAATATAATCAGGTCATAGATAAAATGTCAAGTAGAACACTTGTATAAGTTGAAAATAGTTCAATGACCATTAATGTTAATGAACATCTAAAAGAATACCTCCTAAGTGCAGAACATGTTTTTGATGACCTTAAGGTATTCATCTCACTCAGGTGTTACTGTATTATTTAAGCATTTTGAATTTGAAGTGATATTCCTAAAATCTATTCTTGACAGAGTGTTTTATCCTAATTTCACCTGTTTTGAACAAAGTATCTAAATATTTGACGCAAATTGTTACAGACACCACTCTGAACGGCAACTGCCGAACACAATCCACAAAAATTGGAGACTGTAACAATATGTCACTACTTCTGGTGGTGACATGAAAATTGTCAATAAGGGCACACAATCTTTATTTTTTTAACAGAGTGTATCACTCAGTTACTCTAATATTAGGATCCTCTCCCCCCTAACCCCCCCCCCCCCTAAAAAAGCTAGACCTTACGAAGTTAATTTGTTTCTTTCATTCCAAAGTTCATATTTTCGCTTGATGATTTAATTGAATCTTATTCTATGATTTATAGTTAATCTATAATGTGTTAAGTACCAATTACCAGAGTAAGCACTAAGGGAACTTGAGAAAAGAAATAGATCTCTCTGAAAAATTGCTCTAAAAATTCATGAACAAATAACATTCAAGATGTTTCTTAAACATTTAATTAAGGATATGTACTCAAAAAGGATTAATTGGGAAGATTTTTCCTAAAATATAATCTCTGAGCATTTCCTTGAGATAAGAGCAACCATTCCTTCTTCCCTACCCCCTGTGGTAAGGAAGGGTATCTAGGGATGGCGTCCAAATGTTAAACAGTTGAGGAAAAAAGTGAATTTTTATGGGGAGGGAGGGGGTGATAAATAACAAATCATTATTGAAAAATGTTGATTCAATAAAAAATTAAATGAAAGTCACATCAACATTTCAAATTGTAGTTAAAGTTACATGGGGAGGGAAGAAGGCTAAACTAAAATGAAATTAATTTTGACACCATCCCTTATGGTCAGTCTCTATGCATGTGGTAAGTCGAGATACATAGCCTGCCCCGTGAAGAAAAGTCAAAGAGACCACGTTTTGAAGGACAAAAAAGGAAAGGATTTAGCAATAAGAAAAGAATAAAATTAAAGGGCAAATGGCAAACACTAAATTATTTAAATGCCTGAACATCAAAGAGTTATTTCTGCAGATTTTACAGATATGTGAAGATTAAGTAATACCACAAGAATATTTCAACCAAGGGAAATACAACATGTAGTTGTTTTTGAGATAAGATAAGGTAAATGCCATGAAAAAAAATCAAAGAGGTCTTATTTTGAAATCTAAATATAGTGAAAAAGAGTGGAATCAGCAAGGAATAAAATAAACAGGCATGTAGTTAATACTCTAAATTGTATAGAAATGCAAGAAAATCAGACACTTCATTCAAATTTTATAGAGAAAAAGTGTGAAATAGGCATGAGCAGATGGACATTTTATCACTGATTTGACTGTTTCTCAAGAGTTCTGATATCACACTGAAACATGCAGGAAAAGCATGTTTAAGCCTTGATGGTCAAGGTTCCAAGGTACAACTCAATGGAAATGTACTTTTAGTGCATGATATTTAAGAGGTTAGTCTAGACTTAGATTTATCTTACATCAAGACTCTACCCCCCTCCCCCTCACCCCCTCTTTCCCCTTTACATTGCACTGTTTTGAAGACATACATGTAGGAGAGAGTACTTAGTGGTGCATTGTCCTTAGATGGAGAGAGTGAAGGGTAGGGTGAGATATAAACCCATGCACTTAGACTACAGACTTCAAGTTAGTTAGTCTGTTTATTTTAAGTCATGCTCCCTCTTATATACAAATTTTTTTATTCATATATAAAAAAATAAATATATATCAATATATAGAATATAAGAGGGGGGGGGGTGACTTACTCCCCATGTTTTAACATTAGATAAAGGGGGACTCAGATATATCAGAATGAGTTTTAATGGTTGAACCTATATTGGAATATAGTATGCTAGGCACATATGTGTATAACATGTATCTGGTTCTTTAGAAATCACATTTTTCTGATGCATACTAATGATACAGGAAAAGAAGATGCACTTTAAACATTCATATAAATTTCCCAGAAACCCAAATGTTTTTTTTTATATATGGTATGATACAAGATTCAACCAATCAGCATTGTATTACAGGCTGCTGTACCAATGCATTATGGGATTGATGTACCTCTGTACCTCTCTCAGACAGATAATCTGAGATAAGAGTTTTGTAAACAAGAAGTGGAATGCAAACATGTGTATTTCATTAAATATAAAAATCCTATTTAAACAGAATCAACTACATTCATTTTATCATAAAGATAGAGGCTGAATCCAAGCTGAAAAGCACGTCCAAATATTTTTCAGTCCTTAGTTTTTCTCTTGTAACATTTAAAATTAACATACCTTTTTGGTATAATTGTTTTCAGTAATTTTTTGCAGATCTTTTCATGGTTGCAGGATAGCCTAATTATCACTTTTGAACCTATTCCTTCATTAAGGGCTGAAGGGGGGGGGGGTAACATAAAAGCCAAAATTAACTCTCGTACAAGTCCTTTACGCTCTTCTTTATACCGATATGCCTAGTGATTCCAGTTTGTTACCTAAGTTGCCCAATTTATGTAGGGAGAAGCAGATTTTGGCCCCAGCACCCCCCTCCCTCCAGATCTACCAGTGGTATTTGAAAAGCAGCACTAATGTTCTTTGCAACATGATGCAGTCTTGACCCCCACAAGTTATTGATTTGCTTGCGTTTCCAGTGCTATATCCGATAATTCAGTTTGAAATAATTTCTTCTTGATATTTTTGGACATATGTAGCAAGAGGTGAGAGCAATACAGGTATTTGAAGCAAGGCTTAGAGCCAAAAAACCTGTTAAAGTACATGTATGAGTACAGTGCTACCCATAAATCAAGGTTAAACAACTAAATGTTATAAGTATAACAGTATATCGGCATGACCCCATAAAACTAATAAGTACCTCTCTTTAGAGCATGATCCTTATTTTCAACACAGAAACTAACATTGTTATATTTGAGGTGGAAGTCTAGTAGCTGCACAAGAATCATCCAAGGGAATCAAACAGAGGCTTTTCCTTTAGGAGATAATGGGAGATATGGCTACATAACTAAAGCATCACATGGCCCCAATTATGTATTTTCTTTCTGCTTCTTATGGCCTAGTCACATAGCCCGGCCGATGAGGTTACGATGAGCCAGCGATGCAATTTTCACCGAACTCGGCCGAACACCGGCCGGACATCCGTGGCGTTTGTTGCTTAAAACCGCATCGGTGGTAGCTCGGTGAAATCTTAACTTCGGAGTTAAATTTCACCGGGCTCTCACCGAGCTCCCTCATCATGTCATCGCAGCCCCATCGTAACCACATCGGAAAACACGTCGGCCGGTGCACGGCCGAGTATCGGCCGGTGTCCCGTGCATCTGAGACAACCAGAGGACGAGGTTTTTTAACGGACAGCGGCCGAGCTCTGACCGAGCTCCGGCCGATGTGGGACAGAGCATCACTGTTCAAAGCCCATTAACAACCCGGCCAGCGATCGCACGGTGTCCTGTTACCTGCCCGGGTACCGGCCGTATTCCTTCCGATGTCCGGCTGACCTCCGGCTGGTAGTTGCTGCCACATCGGCAGAAAAAAACTACCATTTTGAGACAGACTCCATACGGTCACCGGCCGGTGTTCGGTCGGTCGCCTGAAGATGTCCGGACGGAGTCCGTTCACGTCACCGAGCTCTGCTTCCGATGAGGAGAGCTCGGTGGCACCAAAAAAATCCACCGAGCTCTACCGATGCCGGACATCGGCCGGGCTATGTGACTAGGCCATTACTAGCAATAT